CTGATACACACAGCTGAATATGCAGTTTGCCATCCAGAGGGATCTGGACAGACAGGCCTGTGCAAACCTCATTGGTGTTCAACAAGATCAAGTTTCAAGTGCAAGGTTCTGCACCTGGGCCAGGGTAATCCCAAACACAAATACAGTCTGGGTGGAGAATGGATTGAAAGCAGCCCTGAGGAGAAGGACCTGTGTACGTTAGTTGACGAGAAGCTCAACATGAGCCAGCAATGTGCTCTTGCAGCCCAGAAAGCCTACCATATCTTGGGCTGCATCAAAAGTAGTGTGGTCAGCAGGTCAAGGGAGGTGCTTCTCCCCCTCTGCTCTGCTCTTGTGAGCATTTGAGACCTGGAGCACTGTGTTCAGCTCTGAGGCCCCCAGCAAAAGAAGGACATGGAAGTATTAGAATGAGTCCAGAGGAAGACCACAAAGATGATCAAGGGACTGGAGCACCTGTACTATGAAGACAGGCTGAGGCTGTTGGGGCTGTCAAGCCTGGAGAAGTGAAGACTCCAGGGAGACCTTATAACTAAAGGGGGCCTACAGAAAAGCCAGGGAAGGACTCTTTATGTAGCGATAGGACAAGGAGTAATGGCTTTAAACTAAAAAAGGGTAGATTCAGATTAGATATAAGGATGAAATTCCTTAGGGAATAGAAGAGTAGAGAGGTCCTGGAACAGGTCGCCCAGAGAAGTTGTGGAGGTGTCCCTGCCCATGGCAGAGGGTTGGAACTAGGTGATCTTTTAAGCCCCTTCCAACACAAACCATTCTGTGATTCAATTATTCTGGTTCCTTTCCTGAAAACTGACTCAAAAAAAGCGTTTATTTATACAGCTGCTACAAATTCAAAAATCTTAACTGCTTCTCATTAAACCTTGAAAAACAGAAGTCTTTCAAGTTCTCATACAGTCTCTTCCTTCCGCTGCTGTCTTCATCAGCTTTCTGCAGGTGTTTCTGGATTTTTTGTTTTCTTTGAACAGTTTCTCAAAACAATTCTAATACTGTTAAAAGTACACTAAGAAATGTCATTAGGAATGACAAATGCAGGCGCAGACAAATTGTTTATACAGTTTTGCTTCTGATTTTGGTTTGTCATAATTTTCTATTCACTCACTGAACTTTAATAACTTTCACTCTTTTAATTGCTTAGTCTATTGCTGCCTCCCTTTATCTGGCCTGTAAGACACATTAAAGATTTTAACAAGGTTTTTCTGACTACAAAATACAAGCATTGGACAAAGAATTTATCAGTAGTACCCATAATAGGCAGAGTTTATTTCTAAAAATTGCAACTTTTCATTACACTAGGCAAGACTTACTACTCCCTTGTTCTCAATTTATCAAAACAACTGAATGTCTAAAAACTTTCTGGATTAATGTGAATAAATAGATATAGCTAAGATGTAGCCTTTTCTTTTTTCTTTTTTTTTTTTTTTTTTTTTTCAGGCAAGTACGTCAAACATTGGAAACTGTTTTGGCTGGATGGGTAGCTGGTGAAACATCATTTTTAGTACAGCAAAATATATAATAGAAATGTGGGACAAACAGAAAAAAAAAATAAGAAAGTTTAGAATTACATTTTTTCTTTCCTTTTTATTTTATTTTATTTGTTTTTCCTTTTCAACCAAAATATTAAGTAAAAGGGACTCTACAATCAAGGATACATTTTACAGAATATCCTATACTATTTGGTTTCAAGACTTCATACTGCTACTGCTGCTGTAGTTACTGCTTTTATTTTAATAGTAGAGAAAGTTATTTCTACAGAAGAGTTTCCTTTGTCTGATAAATAAAAAAAATATATATATATAAAATAAATACACTACTCCAGAATATATATATATATATATATAGTTATCAATTAACATTGTAAGGACCTTTTTTATTCCTTTAGGTTTTCTCATATTGTGTGAATATAATTTTTATCTTTAGAGGGAGAAAGAGGCTTATGTTAGTAGGAAATGAGAGCCATTGTGGGACTTCTGAAGCAGAGAATACACTCAGTCAACCCAAAAATATTTTTCACAATAAAAGTCATGAAGACAAATCATAGTCTGGAGAGGACAAGTAGTACAACAAACCTTGTGACAAGAAAAGATAAAATGTTCAACCATAATTTCTTTTTCAGTGATTGGACAATCAGAAATTATATTTAAACTGACTTTGTTGGAATGAAATGGTAGAGAAACTGACAGGTTCAAAATGACCAAAACTTTAATGAATGAGCCCTACTGAAAGGTTTATTTTTTAAAGAAATATTCAGCTTCAGCTAATCATTGATGACAATTCACCAGAATAATTGATGTGGTGCCAAGAAGGGGCGTCCCATAAGGATGTATCCCTGAGAAGGTCACATGTTGGTAGAGCTGTCAGGGGTAGGGGACACAGAATCATGCTTACCTGTTGTTCTGCAAAAGCAAAACAATGATTTGATTAAGCATGAAGGAGACACAAATACAGGGGTGGATTTAAAAGTGGCAAGTTTTAATATTTTAACTTGAAAAATTATTAGAGAAAACAAAAGTGATCCATCCTGTCAAATCTTCTGTAGCACTTTGTGGTGTACTAAGCACCCAATACAACTGGAGAAAAAATTGAATGATTTGTAGAACTTGAATGCTATAACTCAGCTATTAGCAGTTTATAGAGACTTGCTGATGCTACAAATAATGCTACAACATGGAAGATATCAGAAGGTTGTCAGTCTGTGTGTCACAGGTCTGTCATTTATCTGTCAGACAGAATAATGCAACATTGTTCAGTAGAAACACCTTGGCGTAGTGAGTCAGATTAACCTAGCATGATGCAGCTGTTCTCCTGCTTTCTATACAGGGAAAGGAAAATGCTCAAAAGTAAAGCAAGGAAATAAATGTGCATAATAGTACATAAACCCAAGGGGCTGACAGATTAAGACAGAGCTCTGAGAAAGAAAAAAGTCTACACAGTGGGAAGCCCCGAATGAGCTGTGGCACACATTACCAGACACCTGAGAAACTAGTGCCATCAAAAGAAGATGCTGCAGCACTAAACCAGTGATGGGCTCAGTGGCTACATTTAAGCCAGTGAGTAAATCAGGAGTGTGCTGAACGCTGGGGGGGGGGGGGGGGGACACAGACAGACCTGGTCATTCTTACAGTTTAATTTCTAACACGCTTCCTAACTAGAAGCGTGTTTGAAGAAAAATCTCTCTGCCAGACACTATCTGGACACGATTCACTGAATAATGTAAACCAGTAGGGGTCAGTGAATAGGATACCAGTTCTCACTAACTAGTGGACAAGAGTGAACTAGGTGTGGCTTCCTTTGCTCTCTCTACAGTCTTCTAACAGTACCCTGGTCCCTCAGCACACCACTCCTGCCATAATTTTTGTGTCATTCTGCAAGACACAACTCCACTAAGCTGAAACAGTCCTCACGTTGCAGGTAGTTTAGACTGGAAGAACTACCCTCAAAAATTACTTATATCTTAGGGCCCTGGTACAGCACCTGGGGTCCCATATTAGAGTTGAATGCTGTATTTTTGTGGACATGTGTCAGCTTCTGTCACTTGAACTCAGAAACAAAGAATCCATGTAGTTAGTAGCACAACTCCAGCCAATGACTCAGACTCTTACAGCTCTCTGTAAAGGCAAAGCTGGGAATGTAATTATGTTTGATAATTCTTTTTAGGTCATGAACACATTCCTAAACCATAAATCCAGAATATTCTTATGGATGGAATTGCTGAAGAAAATCTACATAAACACTATTAGTTACAGTGAGCTGGGAAAAGCAAGTCAGCATGTTCCACAAAGGCCTCAGGAGCCAGCTATAAAGTACCATTTTCATACAGGTCTGGAAAAAACAAAGCTCATGCCTTGGAATAGTGCCAGACGAACTACTTACCAATCTAGGAATGCATAAAAAGATCCAGAACTTGAAGTTCCAGTACATCAGCTTGATGAAGATCCACCACCTTTACTAGGACTGCAGACTTTCAGTTCAGTTCCTAGTCCTGAATAACTCTGAATAGGCTTTGAGGAGAATGAGAAGAAGGCAGAAAGAAAGAAATATATATGGAAAAACACTATAAATTTTAGAAGTGCCACTTTGAGAGAATTCTTTCAAGAGCCTGGAATCTCAGCAGTGGCCAGTGTTCCAATATTCCAACAACGTGGTTAAAAATATTTCCAAAGGAAAGGCAGTAAGGCTGCTCTGTAACGTAAGAGCTTTGTATTTGTCAGGGCAGATGTACAAAGGACAGGTGCCTCTTTCTTCCAGCACAGTTAGCAATAGCAGGGGAAGGTGCAAAGTTGGTACTTCCTCTCACTGTTCAAATATTCAAATCCAATCTTTAATGTTTTGTAAGCAGTGGCCCAGGAAGACAGGCTAAGGTGTAAGGTAAAGTCTGAGAAGCCACTTCCTTGACTACACCCAAAATCCTCAGGGTCCATTTTCTTACTGCCCTATATGTCTCCAGAAAAATTGGGAACTGTTGCAGTTTAACTCCAGCGGGCAGCTCAGCACCACTGAGCCACTCACTCATTCCCCCCACAGTGGGATGGGACGAGGATCAGAAAAGTAAAAGTGTGAGAACTTGTAGCTTGAGATGAGGATACTTTACTAGGTAAAGTAAAAGCTGTACATGCAAGCAAAGGAAAGCAAGGAACTGATTCACTATTAGCAGGCAGATGTTCAGCCACCTCCAGGAAAGCAGGGCTCATCACATAGAATGGTTTATTGAGAAGATAAACATCAACACTTCAAATGTCCCCTCCTCCTTGTTCTGGTTTTATTTTTCAGCACAGTGCCATATGGCACAGGCCTTTGGCCAGTCTGTGTCAGCTTTTCTGGCTGTGTCCCCTCCCAGCTTCTCGTGCACCCTCAGCCTCCTTGCTGGCAGGATAGCACAAAAAGCAGAAGAGTCCTTGGTTCAGTGTAATCACTGTTCACCAGCAACTAAACATTCATATGTTATCAAGACTGTTTTCAACATAAATCCAAAACACAGCACCACACCATACAATGAAGAAAATTATCTCTATTCCAGCCAAAAGTAGTACAGGAAACATGTTCATTTTCATGTTGACACAGAAGCCTGGGAAAACAAACTGATTAATTTACTTGAAAAGATGGAAATTTTAACTGCAGAAAAAGATACTCAGAACATTTAGCACTTGATTTATAGCACTTGGAATAATTTTAAAACATACAATAAATAAATAAATAAATAAAAATCACAGAAGCCTGACATTATACCTATGTCTTTATACTGCACTTTTGAAATCCCAATACAGAGAAAAGTCAATCATCCATGCAATGCGTTCAGTGTTCAGGCACTGTATAGCTCCTCTATATTCAGTTCTGAGGAGGAAAGGAAAGGAAAGGCCTGTGGGGACAGAAACAATCTGTCTTATGCAGTGTTTAAATTTTGGTCTGTATCTCCTTTGCTGTACTGGATAAGTGCCATCATGAGGGAAGACAAGGACAAGAGGAAAAAAGTCATGAAGGATACCACAAAGACATAAGTTCCATTTCAATACAGAAACTCAAATTACTTCTGTAACAACATCTCTTGCATAAATACACAAATGACATTAGAAAATTATTTTAATAATAAAATATATGTCATAGCCATACTGAAAACTAGATTTCAATTAAGTGAATTGATTTTCCATGCATTATACAATGCCAATTACCATGTAAATACCTGTGAAATAAACTAATGTACAATTTGAGAGTTCTGTGTTTCACAGAGTAAGTCACTCAATGTTTATTAAGTTCAAAAACAAGTTTTGGCTTTTAACATTCACATGTACAGAACAAGCTGAGGAACAGAGGAAGATGTGAGTCTATTTAGAGTCCATTTTGATCTATGGGGCAAGGATTGTCTTCAACTCAAAGACTGTCTTCAGTTTCCAAGAATGAGGATACAGGCAACTACAGACCAGTCAGCCTCACCTCCATCCTTGGAAAGGTGATAGAACATCTCATCGTGAAGGTCATCTCCAAGTATGTGGAGGGTAAGAAGGTGATAAGGAGTAGTCATCACGTATTCACCAAGGGGAAATCATTCTTAACCAATCAGATAGCCTACTATGATGAGATGATTAGCTGGGTAGATGAGGGGAGAGCAGTAATGTGGTCTACCTTGACTTCAGAAAGGCTTTTGACAATGTCCGCCATAACATCCTCATAGACAAGCTCAGGAATTGCAGGCTAGATGAGTGGACGGTGAGGTGAATTGGTAATTGGCTGGATGGCAGAGTTCAGAGGCTTGTACTCAGTGGTGCAGTCTAGTTGGAGAGTTGGAGGCCTGTAGCTAGAGGTGTCCCCCAGGGGTCAGTACTGGGTCCAGTGTTGTTCAACCTACTTATCAGTGACCTGGACAATGGAACAGAGTGACCCTCAGCAAGTTTGCTGATAACACAAAGCTGGGAGGAGTGGCTAATACCCCAGAGGGCCATGCTGCCATTCAGAGGGACCTTGGCTGGCTGGAGGGTTGGGCCGAGAGGAGCCTCATGAAGTTCAACAAAGGCAAGTGCAGGGTCCTGCTCTTAGGGAGGAATAACCCCAAGCCCCAGTACAGGCTGGGGGAGAGAGGGGGGACCTGCTGGAGAGCAGCTCTGCAGAGAGACAGCTGGGAGGCCTGGTGGATAGCAGGCTGTTCATGTGTCAGCAGTGTGCCCTTGTGGCCAAGAAGGCCAACAGTATTACCAGCAGATCAAGGGAGGTGATCCTACCCCTCTACTCAGCCCTGGTGAGGCCACACCTGGAGTATTGTGTGCAGTTCTGGGCTCCCCAGTACCAGAGAGACATGGAGCTACTGGAGTGAGTTCAGAGGAGGGCTACGAAGATGATTAGAGGGCTGGAGCACCTGTTGTGTGAGGACAGGCTGAGAGAGCTGGGCCTGTTTAGCCTCGAAAAGAGAAGACTGAGGAGAGACCTCATTAATGCATATAAATATCTGAGTGGAGGGTGTTACAAGGATTAAGCCAATCTGTTTTTAATTGTGCCCAGCAAGAGGATGAGAGACAACAGGCATAAACTGAAGCACAGGAGGTTCCAGCTGAATATGAGGGGACATTTCTTTACTGTGAAGGTGACAGAGCACTGGAACAGGTTGACTGGAGAGGTTGTGGAGTCTTCTTGTCCAGAGATATTCAAAACCCACCTAGATGCCATCCTGTGCAGTGTGCTCTAGGTGATCCTGCTCAGCAGAGGGGTTGAACTAGATGATCTTCAGGGGTCCCTTCCAACCTTGGCCATTCTGTAATTTCAAATAATAAAAGTTATTTCACCTTTTGGCAACATAAGATCTTGACAGAACCTATATTTAAAGAAAACAAATTCCTTGTCTTTTTTTTTTTTTTCCTATTAAGAAAATGAAGCAAGAGAAAACTTGACCTACTAATTTCTATATTAACAGTTACGCTGAAAACAGAGCAGAACTTTAAGAATACTATGGCAGTGCCTGTTTTATTTCTCCTTAGCAGCTAAGACATACTGTGTTAAAGTCTTCACTCTGGAAAATGTTATTGAATTGTGCATCTGTCACTAAAATTTCAGAGGGAAAAAATAAATAAAAACAAACAAAACAAATGAGCAAAATAAACAACTGCAAAACTTCTATTCTTGGTTGTTATTTTACTGTTTCTACACTGGGACATTTATATATCTCTATCCTGCTTCTTCTCTGTATACAGATATATTTTATTAAATAAGAAAGTACAAGAATTTTAGTAGCCTAACTTTGATTTGCCCTTGAAATCATGCTGCTTTAAAGTAAGGAATCTGTGTGTTTCCACTCTGCCCTAAGTAGTTTTAAAAGAGTGGAAGGCGACAGCAGAAGCTGTTACAATAACACTCTTAGGAACTGCTTTGTTATAAATGGATTCTGCTATTAATGTTTTTGTCAGATTTATTGCTCTCCTGCAATCCGTCAGCTAAGGAATGCCTTGGATAAGTGTCCTGAGTTTCATTACAGGAACTATACTAGTAAACTGTTTCTAATCTGGCCAAATGTCTGTGAGTTGGCTTAACTGCTTAATCAAGATATTATGCTGTTAAATACCCCAGCAAGTTTGACTTTTTTCTACTTTTGTTTTCCTTTTCTGAAACACTGTAGGCATTCATCATGCCTGAAAAATAAGGTAACTTCAAAAGGCCAAGGCCACATCATAATCACAAATTGAAAATTTATGTTACTACAGATTAAATGTCTCTAAATCATTTGAAGTTGAATAAGAAGCAGTATCTTATAACATTTTTCCTCCTGCCCCCTAGGACAAAATATTGAATAATAAAAAAATAAATCATTTAATTAAGGCTAATCTCTAGGGTACTGGATTGTTTCCATTAGTTGGCCACCTCTACTGACTTCTGCTCATTTGGGGAAATTAATTGAAAGCAATTATGTCTCAGAACTGTTTTGTCTGTTGGTTTTCAGTCAACTCCTGTGCAGGTCTCCCACCTCCTAATGATAATATTTTATCTTGCAATCAGTGTACAAGACATTCTTTATTATTCTGTTCTTCAAGATGTGTCTGTTAACTTTTTGTAAAATTATAGGTCATCTTAGTAGAATAGGAACAGAGTCTACACATTACATTTCTATACTTTATGTAAGTATACTGTGGATACATAAGCAGAGATATTATTTGGCTGCATTTAATAATTGTTTTGTTGTTGCTGTTTTTTGTTTGTTTGTATGTTTTTAAGTCACCTTGTGAGTGACTGTTTGTGTCTGTATGCATGTTGAAAGGAAGAGTGAAAGTAGTGCAGTTAACATCTATATCTCCAGAAAGGACCCAACACAACATTTGCCATAGTATTTTATGTTTTGGAGAGGGGTACTATCTATACTTTCAATCTGGTCCCTGAAAAATGACACAGGTCTTATTTCTAATTTTAGATAGCATTGGTTATTATTTCTAAATTGCAATTTTATTCTCCTAATTCAATAACACCCTCATCAGTGAGGCATTTTAATATATTTATATATAAACATAGCACCTCCAGTAACTTAGTCCCCAAGGTTCTTGGGAAATAGAATTATTTCCTTGAGGAAGCATTTACACTTTTGACCTACATATGTAAACTCAACACTCCAAAACAACATGTAAGTAAATACTTCAAGTTTATATTTGAAAAACTTGTATGCCAAATCTTACCTTGCATTGTAGTAAAGAATTTTTGATTAAAAACAAACAAAACCTTAAAAATACAAGCACAAGATGTCAACAAGATGCTAAAGTGCAGACAGAACAGTATATCTGGCAGCTGAGAACTGTCTCAAATATTTTAACTGTAGTCCCTAAAATTCACTCTTCTTTCATACAATTAACAGAGACCACTATGCTACAAATAATACCTCAGGTTTAACACAGGAAAAGGATAGATACTCTATTTGAGGCTGCTTTGCTGTAGCCTAGCTGAATATTAATCTAACATATAAATATAAGCTATTATATTTCCTTGTTATACACAATTTCCTCCTCAATACATATCACAGTTTAACCTTTACCTGTTTTTTACAGTATATTTAAGTACAGTGCAATATCAGTACCTTAATCAGGATAATTGCACTGAAGGCATTTGAGTTTAGCTGGAAGTCTGAAGACAAGGGTGTGGAAAAAAAAAAAGTTAAAAGTCTAAATGTTTAAGCAATTACAATAAAACTAATGATTGAAGTTTTCTCAGTCAACTGTGTAGGTATTTTAGTCATTTAATATTATTATTATGTAAATACACGTATTACATTGTCTGAACACTAGACTATTGGACTTACCTAGTCTTTCAAGATATAGTTTGACACTCACTTCCAAAAGAGAAAGATATAAAAATACTGGGTAATGGTGCAAATCAGAGGATCAGTTGGTTCAGTATTCCCCAATGTCACCCTTGAAGTAACTGCACAGGATTGTTTCTGTTAGTATTACCAAAACCCAGTGGACTTGATACAGGCAATTTTTCCTGCCCCCACCTGATTTAAGATTCAGAGAGAAAAGGTTCTTTTCAGGACCTTTTATATGAGAGATGCATATCCTCTTAAGAGTGAACTTGGCAGATGCATCTAATGTACAATGATTGAAGTTAACTATTACAGTGAGAGTAACCAAAGTCTTTGAAGTGTTTGACTTCACACTGAATTGGAGTGCCCAGCTAGCAATAAGGCTGAGGACAAATCACTGAAATAAACACACATGCACACTGCAGGACTGTCTGGTCTTGGACACGTGGCACACCTAGTAGCTGACCCCAGACCCACGTGTCTGCGGCTGGAATTCCCCACAGCCCACTCCCATACTGCACTCCAGAGGTGGCACTGAGCATCCCCTCCCACCTTGCTGCTAGGTTGGCTCCACGTTCAGTGGCACTAATGAACACAGACCTGTACCACAGAGCACACTTGCACTGAAGACAGAAGAGGGCTCTAGTGAGGGGGCATTAGGTGAAGGTGAACTGTGGTGAAGTACCCGTATCAGCCAGACAAGTACACTCACCAGTATCCCCGCTGCGTATCACCAGCACCTCTTAACTGCCTTCCATTTTCCCATTCTTGATCTTCTCTTGTCTACTTTGATCCTTCCCCTAAACTTTGATGACTTCCCCTTAAGTCATCTCATAATAACTTTCACACAATCCCCAAGCACTCTTTAAGCCTTCATCCCATAAATTCTATATCCCTTTAGGCAACAACCTGCTTTAGTTCACATGGTACTCCAGAGATCATTTCTTTCATTGATTCACATTGGTGGGTTTCATACAAGGGCCAGTGGCCCAGTCTTCATCCTCTGGTAGTTTTAGGAGCAGCTGATTCTGTGTTCTGCAATTTTCACTGATTAGATTTTCACAGGTGAGGTTACTAGATCTTCCTGTTGCCCTGATGCTTCTAGGGTCTCTGTGATCTGCGTGGCTTTTCATCAAATAACCTAGTGGTTATGCTCCTTGCGTAGTTTTCTTCACCTTTCCTTCATCATTGGGGAAAAAGGTGGAAGCAGTCTTATACCACAGTTAAACATTTGCACTTCCTGATTTCACCCATGTTTTTTAATCAGGGCTATATTTTCTTAGTCATCCTATGGAGTCACCAGAAGGAGATATCTTCAGAAGAAGCCTTCAGACTATTTAAGCATGAAGATGGTCCTTCACTTATGTGATATTCATGCTCTGCTTTCTGTAGTTGTGATGGTTTTACTGTGCTAGGCAGCTAAACACCACAACTGCTCTCTCACTCCCCTTCATTAGATGAGGAGGGGAAGAAGTAAAGTAAAGAACAACTCACGGGTTGAGATAAGGATATTTTAATTAAATGGAAAATAATAATAATAATAATTATTATTATTAAGGAAATATTATTATTAACTAAACAAATTAACTAAAGGGAAAAAAAAAGGAAAGGGGAAAATGGAGGGGGAAAGAGAAAAAAAGAAAAAAAAAGTAAAGGCTATGTGAAAGTACAGAGGAAAGAAATTACTCTCTACATCCCACAAATGAGCAATGCTTGACCACGTCCTTGAAGCAGGGCCTCAACATATGTAGCTGGTGTTCGGGAGGAGGACAGATGTTTTCACAATGAGAGCCCACCCCTTCCCTCTTCTTCCTTTTTCCACCTTTTATTGCTGAGTGTGACATCATATGGTATAGAATATCCCTTTAGTTGGTTTAGGTCAGCTGCTCTGGTGATGTTTCTTTTCTCACTTTTTTGCCCACCCCCTAGGAGGGTTAGAGAGAGTCCTGATGTTGTGCCAGCACTGCTCAGCAGCAGACACAACACTGGTGTGATAACACTGCTCTTCTAGCTATAAGTGCAGAGCACAGCACTGTATGGGCTGCTGCAGGGAAAGTTAACATCCCAGCCAGACCCAGTACAGTAGTTGAATTGCACTTCTCTTTGTTCACTGAACATGTGGTATATTTGAACAGGAATAAACCTGTTTATGAGGTTTAATAAGAGCAAGTGTAGAATCCTGCACCTGGGAAGAAACAACTGCAAGTATCAGTACAGGCTGGGGGATGACCTGCTGGAGAGGAGCTCTGCAGAGAAGGACCTGAGGGTCCTGGTGGACGACAGGTTGGCCATGAGCCAGCAGTGTGCCCTGGTGGCCAAGAGGGCCAATGCGATCCTGGCATGCATTAAAAGGAGTGTGGCAGCAGGTCAAGGGAGGTGATCCTCCCCCTCTACTCTGCCCTGGTCAGGCCTCACCTAGAGTAGTGTATCCAGTTCTGGGCTCCCTGTTACAAAAAAGACAGGGATATCCTGGAAAGAGTCCAGCGGAGGGCCACAAAGATGATACCTGGGTGCCTGGATGCCTGGATGCCTGGAGCATCTCCCCTATGAGGAAAGGCTGAGAGAGCTGGGTCTGTTCAGCCTGGAGAAAAGAAGACTGAGAGAGGATCTTATCAATGTTCTATCTTATCTATCTCCTGAGGTGTGGGAGACAGAGGGATTTGGCCAACCTCTTTTCAGTGGTCTATGGGGACAGGACAAGGGGTAATGGCCACAAGATGGAGCACAGGAAGTTCTGCACCAACATGCAAAAGAACTTCACAGTAAGGGTGACGGATCACTGGAACAGGCTGCCCAGGGAGGTTGCTGAGTCTCCTCTGGAGATATTCAAGGCCTGTCTGGACATCTACCTTGCCAGCCTGCTCTAAGGAACCTGCTTTGGCAGGGGGGTTGGACCCAATGATCTCTTGAGGTCCCTTCCAACCCCTACAATTCTGTGATTCTGTGATATTTTAGTAATCTATGCTAGACTAGACAATAGAGACAGTAATACAGATATGCTACATTACACTCATAAACTATTGTTAGAGAAGTTTATAAGCATATTAATGTTACAGGCAAATAGTCATATATAAATAGTACCATAGAAACTTCTGAGTTACTGCTCTTGCATATAGTCAGGTATTTTGTTTCATGTCTGACATCAGTTAAATCTGCTACTTACTCCCCGTGTAGACATACACATTGTGAATAGCCCATCTGAACTTAAAAGAGGATTTAGGTCAGAGATTTATGGGCTCTTTGAAGAAAAGTTATACTAATCCTTACAGTATATTTTGTTGATAATTTAAGGAAGCCAAGGAAAGTGAATACATTTTACTCTAAGGAAAAAAACAAAAAAAAACACATACAATGACAATATCTTTTGTCATCCACCAGTCTACTAGCTGAAGCTGCAACTACAGAAAACAAACCAATGTGATTCTCACTGACCTAAAGTGTGAAGACGACTGTATTTGGAAATAATTGCTAATTAAGTCAACTACTGTAAAAACAGCAAGATATGGGTTATTAGTATGCATCTTTTGCATGTTCATGGATGTGTTTGATGTTGTTCTGTAGAGAAGAGAAAATATACCTTATTTTTTCTTTTGAAATAGTAGCAGAATCACATTTCTACCAGTGAAAGAACCATCTGTAATAGTCTGTAAGGGCTGTAATTGAACATGCCTGTTTTGTGATAGGAAAGTAAAAAGGACTTTTTTTTTTTTTCACTAGATAAAACAAAGCTACATGCCTTTTTCAAGCTTCCATTTCTACTTCTATAGAGAATTGAGAGATATTCTATTAATTGTATGTGGGTGCTTGTTTTGTGTGTCCCCTGTCTCCCCATCCTGAAGAAGAAGAATATGCTATATAAGCATATAAAGGAAAAAATGAGTATGCATTGTCATCATTTACATGGCTAAGACCCTGTCAGTGGTTTTGGAAACTGGAAGTTGTTGGAGGGTAGCACAGAATGTAGTCGTAGAAGAAAATTGTGGCTTTTAAGCACTTTTAAAATACAACCTGTAATTCACAGACTATAATACTAATGAAATTCTATATTGCTTTGGTGGCTTTTATTGAGCCTACTATCTTCTTCTGTAGATGAATCTTGCTAATGTAACAGGAAGTCATTTGAGGAATTAAGGCAACAGAATCATTACCAGCTTTGGTAATACAGAGAGCAGCTGAAAGCTACTAGGGAAATGTCAGCAATAACACCAGAGATGAGGAACAGTTGACAGTGCAATGTCAAGCTGTGTGATAACTTTTCTGTCATATAATGTTCCTTTGAGGTTCCTAGTATTAGAGTGCCATGCTTACCTTTGTAAACATAAAATGTTCATCCACACAAAAGCTAGGTTTTCAGCTGCTTTAAAATGCACATCTGAATGGACAGCACTGGAAACAACTGACTTGTGAGACATATTTTAAGCTGTGAAAACCCATCCTAGAATTTAATTATTACTTGCATTGGAATGTTAGCAGGAAAAAAAAATGAATATTTACTGATATTTTCTCCTTGTATTAAGTAATGTAATGTGTATGTTTGTTTTGATTATTAATTTAATAGATTGTAAAATCAAAAATATTCTCTATGTTGTATACTTATGCTGCTTAGTTTGGAAAAACTGCATCTACCACTAAAAGTAAATAATACTCTCTTTTTTTCAGTCAGAGCTTGTGGTGATTTTACGCTGTTGGGCAGCTGAACTCCACCACAACCACTCTCTCAAGAAAAAACCCTCTTCAAAGGAAAAGGGTGAGAAAATACAATGAAAAGAGCTCAAGGGCTGAGATAAGGACAGGAAGATCACTCCACAATTGTCATCATGGGCAAAACAGACTCAGCATAGACAGATTAATGTAATTTATTACGTATCACTAGTGGACTAGAACAGTGAGAAACTAAAAGCAAACTAAAAACACCTTTCCCTCCTCCAACCTTTTCTAGGTTCTCCCCCCGAGCGGCACAGGGGAATGGGGGAATGAGGGTTGTGGTCAGTCTATGGCGCTTCTCCACCGCCGCTTCTTCATGGTCACTCCCTGCCATTGCTCCCCATGGCGTCCTTCCCACAGGAAGCCATCCTTCCTGAACTGAGCCCACGGGGGCTGCCCACAAGCAGTAGCTCTTCAAGAACTGCTCCCACATGGCTCCGTACCACTGGGTCCATCCCCCAGGAGCAAACTACTCCAGCAGGGGTCCCTTATGGGAGGCTACTTCCCCCAGAACCCCTGCTCCTGCGTGGGCTCCTCTCCACGGGCTGCAGCTCCGGCCCAGGGCCTGCTCCTGCAGGGGCTCTCCATGGGCCACAGCGTCCTCCAGGCCATATCCACCTGCTCCACATGGGCTCCTTCACAGGCTACAGCATGGAGATCTGCTCCATGTGGGACCCATGGGCTGCCGGGGGACAGCCTGCTCCACCAGGGGCCTCTCCACAGGCTGCAGGGGAGCTTCTGCTGTGTGCCTGGAGCACCTCCTGCCCTCCTTCTGCACTTACCTTGGGGGCTGCAGGGCTGTTTCTCACTGCTCTCTTCCAGCTGCTGTTGTGCAGCAGTACTTTCCCTTTCTTAAATATGCTCTCTCCATAAAGAAGCACAGACAACATCACTTCTTTGGCTCAGCTCCGGCTAGCAGCAGGTCCCTTTTTTAGATGGCTGGAACTGTTTTTTGTTTGTTTGTTTTGTTTGTTTGTTTTAATGTTTTTTTTTTTTTTTTTTTTAACTTTTTTTTTTTTCTCTCCATTTCTTAAATATGCTTTCTCAGTGGTGCAACCAGTGTCACTCCCTGGCTCAGCTCTGGCCAGCAGTGGGTCCCTTTTGGAGTTGGATTTGGTCTTATATGGGGCAGCTGCTGGGCTTTGCTTACAGAGGCCACCCCAGCAGCCCCCTGTTACCAAACCCTTGCCACGTAAACACAATACAGAGCTTTACAGTGAGTGACTCCATCACCTCATAAGTCCCAGGTTCCATAATTTGTAACTGAACAAGAAGCAAGGTGTAGATGTT